AATAAAACAAATAGTTATTAACAAGATAAAAAAAATTCCCCTAATTTGTTATTATGAGTGTAACAATAAAGAAAATGAAACGTTTAATTGAGCTTTTCGTAGAATATGTGCGTAACGTTTTAGTTACACATAATGTAACCGTGCCTGTATAATACCTGTTTAGCATTGTGAACTTGGTTAATCTTCGTCATTTAGCAATAAAGCATACTATTCCAGAGAAATAGTCCCATTATTTATGAAAATAGTGTCGTGAGATGTAGTCATCCAATGGCTCAGCAGTATATCTGTGGACTTATCATCCAATGGCTCAGCAGTATGTCTGCGGACTTATCATCCAATGGCTCAGCAGTATGTCTGTGGACTTATAACGCTAAGAAATCGGATTTCGCAATTTTTGCTGGGCTCTGTACAGATAGGCAAGTGTGTAACTACAAACAAACAAAGCAAATTTTATAAACGATAAATAAATAAATTTTATAAAAAAAATTTTATTATATTTTTTGGAATTGCACCTTTCATATAAACAAACGACAGTCATTATCAGAACTCTAACATTAGTTTTCAAACCTGGTAATGATTTAATATTCGATGTTCGTCACACTTTTGAGCCAGGCGTGGCCTAATAGATAGCTTGGAGATCGACAGCAGTGATATGACAGTGAACACGCTCCACATTTTCAACCGTAGGGGCTCTGTAACCGTCATAGCCATTACTTGTTTTTAGTCAATAGTAACTGTGTAGGCAACAGGTGCTGTTGGCTGGTTGCCATCTATTTAACCCTATCGTCAAAGACTATGTCATCGCATTTGTACACTTACATTCAAAATTTTATTGAACTATTATTTTATTAATTTATGTCAATAAGTGTAGACTATAATTCAAATTTTAGTATTATACATTAGTTAATTTCTTAATTTAAAAGTAACTATTATAAGAACACACCTAAATATTGATTTTTGTGTATGTCATGTTGAATGCAGCTTTGGTTCAAATTAGATGTTTGTGGTGTCCAAATAAAAAGTATATAGTTTCTTACGAATTAGGAACTCAAAT